TGGGAGCTTACTGTAGTCTTCTCAAAGGATGGAATCTTTCAAGGAAAGAAAGAAGCAGCTTCCCCCATGTATACCTGTCAGAAACTCACACAAAGCCAGGGAGTAAAGGAGGGACTTCTGATTTGGCCATGGAGAAAAGGAGTGATCTAACAGAGTCTAAGCTTCATGAGGGCACGACTAGTAGAAAGCATGGTGGATTTGCAGTCAGAGCACCTAGATTTGCATCCCAGCTCTGACACTTAACCATCTGTGTGACATTGGGCAAATAATAATGATAATAGAACAGCTAACATCTATAGTGCTATGTGCCAAGCACTGTGCTAAATGTTTTGCAATTATTCTCATGTGGTCCCCGCAGCAACCTTGGGAGGGAGATTAGCCTTTTGGTATGAAGACTTCCCCTTTGTTAAAATCAGAGCCATGTTTACCCGTCTCTCAGCCTGAGAAGCCACCTTTGTTCAGGTCTGGAGTTAGGAAGACCTGAGTTCAAATCTGGCCTCGCTAGCTGTGTGAGCCTGGGCAAGTCACTTCACCCTTGTTTGTCCCAGTTTCCTCATCTGTAAGATGAGCTGGAGAAGGAAATGGCAAACCACTCCAGTATCTTTGCCAAGAAAGCTCCAAATGGGGTCAGAGAGACTCAGACATGACTGAAAATGAATGACCAGCAACAATGATTAAGGGCTTCTTATGGTCTCACAAACATCAGTTCTGGTCTTTCTTTGATAAGAAGGAGAAGGAAGAGGGGGCAGCCAGATGGCTCAGTGGATAGAACACTGGCCCTGGAGTCAGGAGGACCTGAGTTCAAATCCATCCTCAGGCACTTGACACTTATTAGCTTTGTGACCCTGGGCAAGTCATTTAACCCCATTGGCTAGCCAAAAAAAAAAAAAAAAGGAAGAGGAAATGGAGGAGGCATATTTAATTCTAATTACACACAAGAATCCTGAGCAAGACAGAATTTTCTTGGTTGCCAGTTTCAAAGCTTTCAGCATCATCCATTTTAGAGGAAAAGGCATCCAGTGTGAACAGTGAGAGCACAGGAGGATGACAGTGAATGAACCCTGCTGTCCCCAGGAATCTCCAATCTAGCTGGCTATGTTTTGTCTAAAGCTTGTAGATACCTACATATATTCCGGTTATCTTCCTTAATAGACTGCAACCCTCTTGAGGGCAGGACTATTTCACTTTTGTCTTTGTATCTCCAGCACCTAGCACAATGCCTGACACAGAGTAAGCCCTAAATTATTGATTGATTGGTGGTTTTCCCCCCTAAGGTTGATCCCTGCCCCCAAATCATGAGAAAAGCATGGGATTGGGAGTTAGAGAATGGGGATGGCTTTGCCAGTAACTCCCTCTGTGAGCTTGGATAGATCACTTCCCCAATTTGGACCTCAGTTTCCAAATCTGTAAACCCTATAGGATCCCCAAATCTATGTAATGTTTTCCTCCTTAACTGCATTTGGAATCAAGAGTGTGGAAGACCCAGGTCTGGAGTCCATTGAGAGAGCCTCACCTCCCAATTTCCGTGCTCAGAAGTTGTCTTTCCAAAACCATCAGACAAATGGGGGGGGGGGGGAAGCTTCAGGGACCACGCTGATAGACTCTTCCTAAGTCACAAGTCAAAGATTAGAACTTCAAGCTGTGTGAAAACACCTGTGAATCATAGACCTAATTTATTTTTCTGATCCTTCTGAGGATATTTGTGGATGCGTGTGCTGTGAGTGTGAAAAGACACCCCCCCAGGTTAAAAGAAAGAGTGAACATTGTCACAATTCATTATATGAAATGCTAAAAATGTTACCTTTGGGGCACATGCATAAACATGTTTTATATCCTGCCTTTTCCCCACTTCCAAATGGAAAGAAACTAACTCCATTTTTTGGCGAGTGGGATTTGTGAGCATCACATCTTATAGCTTCAACTTCAACCTCCTAACTCATGGGGTTGTTGAAGTTAATGGTCATTTTCACTGAGTTTTGTTTCTGTGAGGGCAGGCTTATACCCATCATCACCTCAGAAAAGTCAGTTCGTCTAAAGATTTCGTTCTGTGATCATATCGATGAACTGAAGAATTTACTACCTGTATGTTCATTTCTTTTGTCCCTATTTTACAAAAAGAAACACTGTCTCAGCAACTTTGCTCTGGTAATTAACTGACTCATAGCAGCCAACGCTGTGTTGTTACATTGAAACCTTTTTGACTGCTTCTTGAATTTCCCATCGTTCCTTACCACTGGGTGCTGCCATCATTCACCACAAAGAGATGGGTTTCTATAGCACCAACAGTCCCCACTGCTGTTCCACCCTATTATTATTACTGTGGGTTTTTGTTGTTGTTAAATATAGTAACTACAGGCTCACAACTGAAGCCAGAATCCTGTCTTGTCATCTCATCGTTTTTCAAATCGACCACTTTCTCATTGCAGGGCATTTGTGATATAAACATAAGTTAGTTTAAACCCTAGCTCAGTCTCCTAGGAACACAGAATCTCAGAGCCCAAAGAGCCTTCGGACTATCTAGTTCAACCCATACCAGAATAGAAGTCCCCTGTACAACTTTTCTGAGATGTTCATCCAAGCTCTGCTTTCAGACCTCTGCTGATGGGGAGCTCACTCCCCCAGGAGGCAGCCCATTACACTTGGGAACAACTCTGATCATTAGGGCACTTTTTTCTAATGTGAAACCTCAGACTGCCTCTTTGCCACTTCTGTCTCTTGATCCTCGCTCTGCCCTTTGGACCAACCAAAGACAAGCCCATATGATAGCCCTTCAAAGCCTACAGACCGTATTATTATGTTCTTCCGATCCCATCCCATTCTCTTCTTAAAGCTGAGCATCCCAAATCTTTCAACAAATCCTCCAGTCTCTTCGCCCTCCAGTCCACCCTCCTCTGAACCTGCTTGAGTTCATTGCCATCTTTTCTAAAATGTGGCTCTCAGGACTGACTACGGTCTGCCCAGGCCAGATTACAAGGGAACGATCCATTCTTTTGCTAAATGACTTCTCCTCCCTCTTCTAGAGCAGCGTGAGGTTTCCATGAGCTTTTCTTGGCTGTTGCACCATTTCTTTGGCCCCATTGGAGCTTCCGGATCCCTAACCTCTCTGGATCATTTTTTTTTTCAGATAAACTGGTCTAGCTGTCCCTCTTCCTTCTTCTGCTTGGGAAGCTAAGCCCGAGTCTATGTCACTTATTCCTGTTCCATTTCATTTTGTGAAATCAAGCTCATCATTCTAACCCACTGAATGGAATCATTCTGGATCCTGACACAGCCACCCAACGTGATAGCAATCTGAAATCTGTAGAATTCATCCTATGCCCTCATCCAAGGCAAGGACCAGCATTTCAAATAGCACAGGACCAAGGACAGATCCCTGAAGTCCTTCCCCAGTGGATGGGCATCCCCTCAATTTCCAATTCTTTGCCACCACAAAAAGAGCTGCCATAAATATTTTTGCACATGTAGGTCCTTTTCCCTCTTTTATGATCTCTTTGGGATATAGACCTAGTAGTGGTATTTTTGGATCAAAGGGTATACACGGTTTTATAGCCTTTTGGAAATAGTTCCAAACTGTTCTCCAGAATGATTGGATCACTTCACACCTCCACCAACAGGGCATTAGTGTCCCAATTTTCCCACATCTTCTCCAACATTTATCATTTTTCTTTTCTGTCATAGCTAATCTGATAGGTGTAAAGTGGAACCTCAGAGTTGTTTTAATTTGCATTTCACTGATCAATAGTGATTTAGAGCATTTTTTTCATATGACTATGGAGAGCTATGATTTCTTCTTCTGAAAACTGCCTGTTCATATCCTCTGACCATTTATCAATTAGGGAATGACTTGTAGTCTTATAAATTTGACTCAGTTCTCTATGTATTTGAGAAATGAGGCCTTTAACAGAGACACTGGCTGTAAAAATTGTTTCCCAGCTTTCTTCTTTCCTTATAATCTTGGTTGGATTGACTTTATTTGTGCAAAAACTTTAAATTTTCTCCCACTTAACAGTATTTTATTTTTTTTCCAATTGCATGTAAAGATAATTTTCAACATTCATTTTTTATAACATTTCGAGTTCTAAATTTTTTTCACCCCCCTTCTTCTTCCCCCTTCCCAAAATGGCAAGCAATCTGATATAGGCTATACATGTATAATCATGTTAAACATATTTGCCCATTAGTCATGTTGTGAAAGAAGAATCGTAATAAAAGGGAAAAACCGCAAGAAAGAAAAAAAATAAAAAAAGAGAAAATAGTATACTTCAATCTGTACTCAGACTCCATAGTTCTTTTTCTGGATGTGGATAGCATTTTCCATCATGAGTTTTTGGGGATTGTCTTAGATCACTGTATTGCTGAGAAGAGCTAAGTCTATCAAAGTCAGTCATCACTCAGTGTGGCTGTTACTGTGTACAACATTCTCCTGGTTCTGCTCACTTCACTCAGCATCAGTCCATACAAGTCTTTCCAGGTTTTTCTGAAGTCAGCCTGCTCATCATTTCTTATAGCACAATAGTATTCCATTACATTCATATACCACAACTTGTTCAGCTGTTCCTCAATTGATGGACATCCCCTCAAATTCCAATTCTTTGCCACTACAAAAAGAGCTGCTATAAATATTTTTGTACGTGTGGGTTTTTCCCTCTTTATCTTGTTGGGATACAGACCTAGTAAGGGTGTTGCTAGATCAAAGAGTATGCACAGTTTTATAGCCTTTGGACGTAGTTCTAAATTGCTCTTTAGAATGATTGAATCAATTCACAACTCCACCAACAATGCATTAGTGTTCCAATTTTCCCTCATCTTCTTGTTGTGAGGATCAAATAAGATAGTTTTTGTGAAGTGCTTAGCACAGTGCCTGGTACATAGTAGACATTATATAAATGCTCTTTCTCTCCTCACCCCCATAATGTTATGCAATTGAATTTTTTTTAATGAATATAATAGAAAACACAGGAGGTTAAAGTTGGAAGGGACCTTAATAACCAACCCCTTCATTTCATCAAGGAGGAAACTGTGACCCAGAGAAGAGGTGACTTGCCCAAGGTCACACAGCTAGTAAATGTCAGAATTTTTGTTATAGCCCAGGTTTCCAGACTCCCAAGGCAGAGCTTTATTTAGTTTACCACTCTGCCTCTAATACTTGCCCTGGTGATCAAATTAAATTATTAGGTTCTTTATATACTATATAAATACATGTTCACTATTGCTGTTTAAGCAGTCAAACAACAAGCGTGTGTTATGCACCTATTATATGCCAAGTACAGTGGTGAGAGACACAAAGAAAAAACCAAACAGTCCCTGTACTCCAGAAGTTAATCACCATCACCATCACCATCACCATCACCATCACCATCACCATCACCATCACCATCACCATCACCAACACCATCACCATCACTATCACCGTCACTATCACCATCACCATCACCATCACCAACACCATATAAACTGGTGGTATTTAAGCCCTGACGGGGAGGTTCAGGGAAAGGAAGTATTTGGCACACTTACAAAAATGCTGAGACAAAGTTCATTAAGAAAGGCTATCCAAAGTAGCCACATAGCTATGTCTGGGACCCAGGAGGCTCCATTGTGGGTCACATAGCAGGTTGGTCCAACAGGAAAGACTCTGTGCCTTCCAGGCCAATGGCTGGAACAAGGTGGCCCACCTACCTTTGATGGCCTTCCTCCCTTATGTTCACCCCACTAGAGGAAGCAGTGCCCACCAGCACAATATTGCTTGTGGTCAGTGTCCGAGGGGCCCTCCATCCCAGGCTGCAACCCTTGTGCCAATTCCAACCAGAGCAGCCCTGTACCTTGTATGTGCAATGATCCTTAGACCAAGGAGAAGAATCAGACTCCTTCCCCATTTTGTTCTGGGCTGCCAGATAGGCATATACATAAATCGGTAAATTGTATTATTTAAAAATATTGCTGTTACAATCATATATATGCACATGTGTATTGTGCATATATTCACATGTATGTGCATGTGCATGCATATAGGTGTATCTACATGCAAATGTGCACATTGCATATATGTGTATGACGAAGGGGGAGGGGCAGAAAATGAGACAGAGGAGAAATAGAGAGGAAGACAGAGAAAGAGAGAGAGAGATACAGAGAGATACAGAAAGAATAGAATGCGAAGAATTAGGAAATACAGTATACACACATGTGTGTGTGTGTGTGTGTGTTTTGAGAGAGAGAGAGAGACAGAGACAGAGACAGAGACATAGAAAAATATGGAAACGGACAATACTGACAAAAATTCATTGGTCTTTTCTTGACCAGGTGTGAGTGCCAATAAGTCTGTCCCTGGTCAAAGCACATGCCTTAACTGTCCTAAGACAGTGGCTCAACTTTAAGTTGTGCTCTGCAGGCTGAACATCCCATAAATCTGAAGCTAGAGGAAGGCGCTTTGTGCCCCTATTGAGTTGATCCTTCCACATCACCCACAGCCTCCGCTTCTCCGTTGCTGTGTGAGGTGATGATATCCAGCAGACTATTATAGGCCTGGGAAAGCTCCTCAAGTTTCCTTTCCAGCTCCTGAGCCTGTCCCCTCAGTTCTTCTGCCATTTCAGCCTTTGCCCCCTCCAGTAAATGGCTCAGATCACGAATGAAGGTGATCGTGTCCACCAGAACCAATGCACCTGCTGTCATGGCACTTGTCATCCTGGAGCCTTTGGTCATGGCTAGGGCTGTGCCCCCGAAGGCCTTCTCCACCTTCCGGGCGCTCCACCTTGAGAGGTACCCAGTGGTCATGAAATTTTTGGCAGTTGTAGTCAAACGGGGGTTGGCTTTAGCCAAGCGGAAGGCACGGATGTTCTTTTTGATTTCTTCCATGACTTGGTTACCCGTAGAAACACACTTCTGAGCAACAGAAAGAAGCTGGGGGGCCTCCTTACATAACGCCACCACCGCTGCTTGTCCCTTGGTCCCCTTCTGGTTGCTCACTCGCTCTCGTGCTGCCAAATTGCCGGCATGTTCAATGACGCTTGAGGAAAGAGTGGTGATGGCAGCTACCGCGCCCAAGCCAATCCCAGAAGCTGAGAGGATCAAGCTTCCTCCGGCTGTGACTGGCGCAAGAGCCAAGCCCAGGATGCTCATGACGCCGGAGAGGACGCTGGTGGAGCCCGCTACCACGTTGGTGATGGCGCATTTCTTGTGGATCTTGTCAACTTGGTCTGCAGCAGCATGGAGGCCTTGGATGCGCTCCTCTAGCTCCATCTTCTTCTCAGGAAACTCTTTCAGAAAGATTTTGTCCTCAGCTGAGAGACCGTCATTTTGCTCAATGGTATCATCCAGCAGCTTGTCTCCATATAACCCGTACAGGGTCTCATAGAGCACGTTGACCTCTTCCCTGTGAACAATTGAAGGCAAATGATTGATGATGATGCTGTTAATAACAATAACATTTATATAGCACCTACTATGTGCCAGGCACTGTGCTAAGCACTTTGCAATTATCTTGTTTGAGCCTCACAACACTCTGGGAGGTAGGTGCTCTTATGATCCCCATTTTACAGATAAGGAAACTGAGGCAAATAGTGGGCAAGTGACTTGCCCACAGTCACACAGCTAGAAAGCACCTGAGGCTGTATTTGAACCCAGGTCTTCTAACTCCAAGCCTGACCTGTTATCCTCTGTGAGCTGCCTCACTGCCCAAACAACGAAAGCATTGGTTTTCTTTATTCAGATCACAGAATATCAGAGCATGAAAGAAGGCTGTTAGAAACGGGAATCCTCTTGAGTCCTGGGTATTGGAGGCATCATGGAACAGGGGAAAGAGCGCTTGGTTGACATTCTGAAGTTCCACGTTTGACCTCTTCAATCAATGGATCAAGCCTTACTTAAACACCAACCATGTGTCAGGCACTGTGCTAGGTGCTGGGGTTACAAAAACAAACCAGAGTCCCTGTCCTCAGGAAGATTATAATCTACTAGGATTCTCTCCTCTGGTTTCTAGGTCTCTCATCTGTGAAGGGATGTGGTAGTTCTAAATGAAGGTTCAAGGTCCCTTCCAGCTCTAAACCAGTGGTCCTCTTCACAAACAGCAGTGGGCTGGACCCTGGGGGAAGGAAGACACGGTCCCTCCCCTCAAGGAGCTTACAGTCTAATAAGAAGAATTCTGAAAGCTAAAGGGATTGATCTTTGGGGCCCACTTTCTGCTCTGTAAGGATACACCCCACTTCTATCTGTTGCTATCAATTCCAAATAGCTGGTCTTTGGAAGAAGAAGTCAATTCTATCTACCTGAGCAAAAAGAAGATTGCTTCCTTGGGGGAGAGCATGAGGTGGGGAGTGGGGACCTGGTATCCTTTTTGTTAAGGACCTCAGACCAGACTGAGGAGGTGGGGAGAGGAGGACCGTCCCTCTGTCTTTACACTGGACTCTGAGTTCTATCTTTTTTTTTTCTTTAATTAATTCATTAGTTTTTACTTTTCAACATTCACTTCCATAAGCTTTTGAGTTTTAAATTTTCTCCCCCTACCTCCTTCCCCCTCCCCCTTCCCTAAAACGGCATGCAATCTGATATAGATTCTGAGCTCTATCTTATTCAAAAGTTTCTACAGCACCAAGCCACCAGTACAGATATTTAAGAAATGTTTGCTGCCTTGAATTGAATGAAGACCTCTGAATGGTTCAGTCTGATGCCCAAGTCCACTCAGCCTTCAGCTGACATCTACTACTTCTAGCTGAGGCCCTCTCTTGGGGTACCACAAAGCTCCCCATTTCATTTCTGCTTTCGTAACCCCAGCACCTGGCACATAGTGCCAAGGGACTGGACCAGTAATGTCACCGATATGAAGAACTCCCATCATGAGGAAATTCCTTCTACCAATGCTGATTGGCACCTTCTGTACATAGGTTCAGAGGATTGCATAGAGAAGCACTGAGAGAGAAATGACTTGCCCAGGGCCATGTAGCCAGTATAGTGAGAGGTGGGACTTTTTTTAAATGTATTTTGTATTTACCAATTTAGGTACACATCATTTTCCCTGATAGAATGTAAACTTCTTGAGGGCAAGGCTGATGTACTTTTGTCTTCATATCCCCATTGTCTAGCAAATAGTAGGTGCCTAATAAATGCACATTGCTTTGAATTGAATTCAGCTAGCTCTTCTCTCTGTTGTGAATAAGTATTTACTAGGTCTCTCTCTCTCTCTCTCTCTCTCTCTCTCTCTCTCTCTCTCTCTCTCTCTCTCTCTCTCTCTCTCTCTCTCTCCTCCACACACACACATTCTGTCTTTCTCTCTGTGTGTCTTTCACTGTCTCTGTTTCTCCCTCTCCCTCTTTATCTTTGCCTCCATCTATGTCTATCTTTTTTCCTCTTTCTTCTCCCCTCCCTCCTTTTCTTTCTGGCATCTGGCATTGTCTTCTTTTATCTATGAACTCCATTCTTGGTCTACATTGATATCATGTCATGACCCTGTTAAGTCTCTTGAGCAACTTAGGTTAGTATGGAATTAATATCATTCTGGAACAAGGAGGACTGATTTTTATCAGTTTCTGGGGAAGAATCAGATGGATGGTTATGCAATTGGCAGTGAACATGAAGCTAGGAGGGACAGATAATATGTTAGATGCCACAGTCAGGATGTAATTTATAAGATCATAGATTTAGAATTTAAAAGACCTTTAGGTGCCATCAGATTCAACCCATTCATTTTATAGATGAAGAAATTGAGTCTGGAAGAAGTTAAGTGACTTTCCAGGGTCACACATTGAATAAGTATTTGAGACAGGATTTGAACTCAGGTCTTCCTGCCTCCAAGGCCCAGTGTTCTATCTACTGTACCACCTTAGTAGTGACACATAGTAGATGCTCAATAAGTGATTGATTGATTGATTGATGGTGTCAAGCCCTCAAGTGCCTATCTAAACATAAGTTTAAAAGTTTCTGTAGTTATAAAGTTCATTGTCAGGCTGTGATCAGCTTGGTGTTGAACCTCTCCATACCTGGCTGAGTGAGTCCTTGGACAACAGATGGAGGGGAGGGTCTGTTGCATAATCAAACTATGTCCAGCTTGGGAAAGGCCTGCTGGAGTTTACACTTTGTTGATATAATATCTAAGGACCAGAGTCACTGCCACACTGTGCCATGGTATCGGGCAAGGATGTGGTGAGGTGGGCTGGGATCCTGGGCTGTATCACTCAAGGCCAATGAGGGAGAGAAAAATCACTGTAGTCTTTGCCCCTACCAGGCCAAATCTGAGACACTGTGCTCTTTTGGAGGCACTTCATTCTGGAAAAGAAGCTGACCAAGATGGCGAGAGACCATGACACCCAATGACTGTTTCTGGAGAAAGGAAGACTCTGGTCTCTCTCACCTCTGCCATTTCCTTTCCTAAGGCCTGTCCCAGTTCTGACCTTCTCTGTTCTAAGTCCCCTCCCAACTTTGACATTCCCTGTTCTAGGGTCCCTCCCAACTCAGTATTCTAGGTTCTTAGGTCCCTTCTAGCTCTGATATTACACATTCTGAAGACATAAAAGTAATTTTTAAGCATGTGAAGGTTTATCATACAGAAAAAGTATGTATTGAACTGGAGGGTCTGGAGTCAAAGAGTGGGTTCAGATTCCACCTCTGACCCTTCTGTGACTTGGATAAAGCACAGTTTGGGGCCTCTGTTTCCTCATCTGCAAAATGAGGGGGTGGTATGACCTCTAAAATCTAGTTCTAGTTCTAAACTTATGATCCCTAACATTTCCGGGCCTCATCTGTTTTCTCATCCATCCTTGTAAATTTCCTCATCTGTAAAATGAAGATAACTGTAGTAACTATCTCCCAAAATTATTGTGAGGATAAAACGAAATATTTGTAAAATTATTTGCAAACCTTAAAGTGCTCTATAAATGAGCTATTATTAGCACTAATTTGTGCCATGGAACCTAGAACCCAAACCTAACAGAATGGCACCCAGATGAGTGCCTGATACACCTGATGGTGACACCTACTGGCAAATTGTGAGACTGCAGCCTAGTTCAATGAGACACTACAAATATTCAGGCAGAAAGAAAAGGATAAATTAATCACAGATCTTTAGTGTTAGAAAGCTCCTTAGAGGTCATGAGGGCCAACCACTCACTCTGCAGGTGAGGAGACTGAGACTGAGAGAGTAGACGACTTCTCCATCACCACATGACTAATAAGTAGTGAAGGTAGCATTCGAATCCAAGCCTTCTGCCTTCAGCCCGTGGTGCATTTCTACCAAATCACACTTCTTTTACTACAGGATGCTTGCTGTGGGCTGCAGCTGGGTTGCATATGAAGCCATTCAACCTTGACTGTCCAGTGGGATGCCCCACTGGACACATCATAAATCTCTTCCTTGCTTACCTTTTCCTGTGCAGGTTGGAGAACGTTTTCCTTTAAACATGATGTAACCCCGAAGCCTTTTGACTGCTTGAGATTCAGATTTTGTGGTGACTTGCTTCACCATTCTGAGCCTCAGTTTCTACATCTGTCAAATGGGCATAGTAACACTCATAGCACCTGCCTCATAGGATTATTATGAGGCTTGAGTGTAATAATGTGTGTAAAGAGCTTTACAAACTTTAGAATACTATAGAAGTGCCAAGTTTGGGTGCCATTGTTATCATTATTCATTATAATCAGAGAGAACAGCCTAGAGGAAGTGTCATTCAGTCTACCTACAGTGTATGTGCACAGCCCTAAGCTAGCTAGGCATTGGGGAACTGTAAAGATGAGTAAATCATGGTCCCTGCCCTAGGGTAGTAAGATCTAGTGCTGAGGGAACTTTAAAAGGTCATCTAGTGCACCCTCTCCTTTCACAGAGGAGGCCACTGAATCCAAGAGAGTGGAAGTGACTAGCCCAAGGTCATACAGATAGGAAGTAGTAGGTATAGCAGAAAGGATTCCAAGCCAAGTCCTTTGACTAACTCCAGTGTTCTTTCCACTTGCCCAAGCTTTACCACTGAGATTTCAGTCTAATGGAGAAGACAGCTCCCCAGGTAGGGAGTCACCCAATGCGCCTCCTTAGGGACACCAAGCACCCTGGGCCAGTCACCTCTTTGAGGCAGAATCCCCCAAAAATCTCTCCCAAGCTTCATCTTCAGGGAGCTCATTCTGGCTCAGCTCTTTCATGCTTTTGGAGACTGGCAGATCCTCAGAGCCGGCAGGTGGAAGGCAGTTGTTATCTAGTGGATGAGAAATAAAGTGGTTAGAAGCCTTGCTTTCTTCTGATCCCTACTCTACCAGCCACTCTCTTGGTGACTTCGACCAAGATCTGTCTGAATCTGTGTCTTCAGCTGTGAAATGGGACAACAGTACTCCCAATTCCTACTTGTACCTCCTAGGACTGTTGTAAGAAAAGCGTTTTGTATTGGCCAACATGACAAAACAGGAAAATGATAAATGTTGGAGAAGATGTGGGAAAATTGGAACACTAATACATTGTTGGTGGAGTTGTGAAATGATCCAACCATTTTGGAGAACAATTTGGAACTATGCCCAAAGGGCTACAAAAATGTGCATACCCTTTGATCCAGCAATAGCACTTCTAGGGCTCTATCCCAAAGAGATCAAACAAACAGAAAAAGGACCCACATATACAAAAATATTCATAGCAGCTCTTTTTGTGGTGGCAAAGAATTGGAAATTGAGAGGATGCCCATCCTTTGGGGAATGGCTGAGCAAGTTGTGGTATATGAACGTAATGGAATACTATTGTGCTGTAAGAAATGATGAACAGGCTGACTTCAGAAAAACCTGGAAAGACTTGTATGGTCTGATGCTGAGTGAAGTGAGCAGAACCAAGAGGACTTTGTATACAATGACAGCCACGTTATGCACTGACTAAGATTGTTAAACTGAACCTTTCTCAGCGTTACAAGGATCTAAGACATCTCCAGAGGCCTTGGGGGGGAAAAAAGCGCTCTGTAAACCCTAAGGAGCTGCATTAATTTAAGCTGTAATTATTAGCTATCATTCAATCTTTCAGGACCTCAGTTACCCAAGCTACAAAATGAGGGAGTTGGAGTAAATGGCCTATAAAGCCCCTCTCCCCTCTGACATTCCCTGTTCTAAGTCCCTCCCAGCTCTAACATTCCATGTTCTTAGGGTCCTTCCTTCCTCTGACATTCCATGTTCTAAGGGTCCCTCCCACCTCTAATGTTCCATGTTCTAAAGGTCCCTCACAGTTCTAACATTCCATGTTCTAAGGGTCCTTCCTCCCTCTGATATTCCATGTTCTAAGAGTCCCTCCCAACTCTAACCTTTCATGTTCTAAGGGTCCCTTTCACCTCTGACATTCCCTGTTCTCAGGCCCCTCTCACCTCAGACGTTCCATAGTTTAAAATGCCTCCCAACCTGGACATTCTGTGATTCTGTGACTCTGAGTCCAGAGCAGCGCCTCTCAGGGTGGAGATTCTGTGGTCTCTAAAAAATGTTGGAAACTTGGGTTTGAATCCTAGCTCTGACAGAGCTAGCTGTGTGGCCCTGGGCAAGTCCCCGAACATGGCCGGGTATGGCTTTCCCAACATATAAACCAAGGGGAATAATGCTGTCTCTCCCTCACAGAGTTGTTGTGAGGCAAATGTTTTGTAAACCTTGGAGTGCTGAGAAATGAGAGCATGGTCTCCAGGGGACTTTCAGGATAAAAGCTCCCATTCCGCTAGTGTCCCAAGGTTTACAAAACACTTGGCACAACTATGAGAGAAAGAGAGTCTTACTTCTCCTGGTTTATATGTTGGGAAAGCCACGTCCAGTGACTTGCACAGGGCCACACATCTGGCTACGTCAGAGCTAGGATTCAAATCCAGTGTTCTTTCTGCCACACTGACATCTACTGAGTGATGATCTGTGTGAATTGACCTCTCTGGGTCTCAGTTTCCTCATCTGTCAGATAAGAAGTTTAGATGATCATTTAAAGCTCTTAAAATCCTGTCCATAGAAAAGGAAGTATTTAGGGCTTGGGGGTTTTGTTTGAGTGAAGGGTGAAGGTAACTAGAAGGGGGTGGTGTCCATCTATCACATAGCACCTGGGCCTCAGTTTCCCCATCTGCAAAAATGAGAGGGTTGGCCTGTATGGCCTCTGAGGTCTCTTCCAGCCCTAGAGCTACATCTATGATCTTGCTAAAATTCTAAGCCCTATTTTTCCTACCCCCCTCCAATTCCTCCTCCCCACAGAGCTCAGTGTTCCTCTCCTGTGCTCCTTAGCCTCTTCCCCTGGAGCCATCCCTAAGCAAAACTTAGTGGGAAGAGCTGATTTTGGAATCAAAAGTACTAGGTTCAAATCTTGCCTTTGTCACCTACTCCCTGTGTGACCTTATCCAAGTCGCTTCAGTATTCTAAACCTCAGTTTCCTCTTATGTAAAATAAGGGGGTCTGACTAGATAGTCTCTGAGATTCCTCCCAGCTCTAGAATTCTAGGTGGAGCTGGTCTTTGGGGACCCTTATCAGCTCCTTCTCCATCTCACTGGGTACCATCACCTGCCTTCCTCAGGGCACCGACTCTGCGCTGTCTGTCTCCTAGGACCTTGACCTTAGCAGTGCCTACTGGTGTTATCTGATAGAACTTCACACATCCCGATTTCTTGGAAGACTCTTGACTAGATACCTTGGGTCTCTGTGAGACCCCTGGGGGAAGGGTCTGTGGGATCAACCCTTTTTTTTTTTAAATACATAAGTACTAAGATGTTATAATACAGCAACTATCTATAATCTGGGGCAGAGTTCTCAATAATTTTTAAGAGTATAAAGGAGTCCTGAGACCAATATATTTGAGAGCCACTAAACTTCAGCATGATTGATTTTTCTTAGGCAGGCGAGAGGCTATATGGGCAAACTACCCCATTTCTGGCTGAGATAGACATTCCTCAAACCCAGGGAAAGGGGCAGGAGGAGAACTTTGGAGAGCTTCATCACTGGGTTGAGAATTCTAACTTAATTTCCTCGTCCAGACTGAGATACATATTATGTCTCCAAAGAAAAATGTAAGCATCTCAAGGGCAGGGAATAATTCATTTTTGTTTTTGTAACGTCAGAACCTTACGCAAGGTAAATGCTTTGTTATATGCCAGTTGAATTGAAATAGTTGAAATGAATTGGGTCCTTCCAACACTGACATTCAGTGACATCCTCCCCCATCTAAACTCTTCTGCCATTTCTTCAATCTATTTGGAGACTGGGTCACAAGAGTAGGTAAACCCAGGACTAAAAGGTGATGACCCTCATTTCCAGGGCTCAAAAATGTTGAATCATTCTAGATTTGGATAATGTTGAACTATTCCAACTCTATATAATGTTAAATTATCCTGGATCTGGGTAATGTGGAATTATTTCAAGTCTGGATAATGTTGAACTATTCTAGCTCTAGATGATGCTAAATTATCCCAGCTCTGGAAAAGGCTGAATCATCCCAGCTCTGGATAATGCTGAATTATCCCAGATCTAGGTAATATTGAGCAAACTTGAGAAAAGGAAAGTGATACCTTGTCTGCATTTCCAGAACTTTGGAGGAATGGTGGCAAGAAGGCGTTCCATCATTTTTTTTTCAATGTGGCTTGACTAGGTGAGTTGAGGGTGAAAGAAATTCTATTTCTCCCTTTAAAAAAAGAAAACAGAAAACAAAGATTAGGAGTAGAATCTATCAGGGAAAGTATATGTGTATTATATGTATATATGTATATGTGTATGTATATATCTATATCTATATATAAATATATCCATGTTTCATTGTAGCCTTCGGGAAGGGGAGGGAGGGAAGAACAAGTAAAAAGTGTACAGCGAAGAATAAAAGAAAACTTGCAAGGAAGGAAAGGAAAGATGCACAGCTCACAACACAATGCATAGTATTTATTATATAGGCTCTCTTGAAATGGAAATTTATTGCTATGTATTTTGAATCCTCTCTTATATTCTGCTGTGCACATGAAATTTTTTTCTTTTCTTATTTATATTTAAGTTTTAATATTTAAGTTCATAATGTTTCTTTTTCTTTTTTATTACATATTTAAGTTTTAGTATTTAAGTCTAAAATTTTAAAAAAGAAAAAAAAACCCAGACTTTTTAACCAGTGAAGTCCCTAATTTGTGAACAAGTGTATACCAAAAATTGATTTGTAAGATATTGTTTGGAAGTTGAGGTACATTTTCTTTTAGAAACAATGTTACAAAACTTAGACTCCCAGGCTAGCCCCCAAAACTCATTTATCAAGTCCTTCTTTGATACGTTATCATAGTTTGTGGGTGATACGGGGTTATCAAAGGCTCTTCCAGCAGAACATAAGCCCTGACAAGTCTGGTTCAGATACTGGCTTGACAGACAGCAAATGTTTCCATTACCCACCAACCAGCCTAAATTTGGAGAGGCTCATGATCTGGTTAGCCACCTTGGGTCCCAGTAATTCATGAAGAAAAAACCAATACTGTACTAAGGAATTATGAGCTATTCCATAAAAAGAATAACACAATTTAATTTAAAAAGAAAAGAGTACATAGATACATAGAAATATAGCACCTAGGTGGTGCAATGCTTAGAGTGCTGGACCAGTGGCAAAGACCAGAGTTCAAATGTGACCTCAGACACATAGTAGCTATGTGACCCCAGATGAGCCACTGACACTCTATCTGCCTCAGTTTCCTCATCTGTAAAAGGGGGGTGACAATAGTAGCACCTCCTTCCCAAGGTCATCTAGTCCACATACTTCATTTGATTTTATTTTAAACTATTTTATTGTCTTGTTTTAATAACCCAGTCATTTCTGAAATACTTCCCTTCATCCTAGCCCCCAAATGAGCCCTCTCTTGTGACAAAGAGAGATTGTTAAACCCAAACACCCAGCACATGACAAGGTCTGACAATGTATGCAGCATTCTGCCTCGGTGGTTCCCCACCTCTCCACAAGATTGACATGTTTTATTACTCACTCTTTAGGATCATTCTGGGTTTGCTTGTTTTTTTCAGATTCCCTTTCTCTGATCTTTTCATTTACACTGTTTCAGTCATTACTTTAAAGTGGTCCCCTCATTTTACAGATGAGAAATCTAAGACTAGAGAAGGGGAGTGAGAACCAGAGTCACACAGGGAATAGCATCAGAGATGGTCTTCAGATCTGGATCGTGGGACTCCAGAACTGCAGCTCTTACCACTATGTTTTGTGGTTCTCAAAAGTGGGGAATGTTGGGGTTTTGAGCACGGTGGAACCTTAGGGCTCATCTAGTCACATACAATTTATCAGGATCCTATTCTACAGCTCATGCTGCCTTCTCTTGTGCCTTAGAGCAGGAAGGGACCTCATGGCCCCTCTAGTTCAAGCCCCTAATTTTACAAAGGAGGAAACCGAGGCAAAGATACAAGTTAGGAGCAGATCTAGGATTTGAATTCAAGTCCTCTGACTTCCAAGTCACCTGTTCTAGGACTCTTGTCCTGTTGCCTTGGATAGGAGGGGTTGTTATTGTTGTTAGGTGGCATGTTTAGCTGGGGAGGGGAAGGGGGAAGAGGAGCAGGGGCAGGAGAGGAAGAAGAAGAAAGGGGAAATAAGGGGAAGATAGAGGAGAAAAGGGGCAAGGGCAAGGGGTAGGGGAAGGTGGGGAAAGCAGAAAGAAAGGGAGGAGTGAGGAAAGAAGGGGAGGAGAGGAAAAAGAAGGAGGAGAAAAGAGGAGAGAGAAGGAGAGGGGAAGGGAAGGAGTAAGGGAAAGAAGGAAAAGGAGAAAGAAGGGAAGGAGAGGGGAGAGGAAGGGAGGAGAGAGGAGGGGACAGGAGGAGAGCAGCAGGCAGAGGAAAAGAGTGGAAGGGAAGAGAAGAGAAGGAGAAGGGGAAGGAAAAAGGGAGGGGAGGGAGTAAAAGGGGAAGGGAGAGAGAAAGGAAAAGGGGCCCCACTTGGGGCAGGCAGAACTCTCAGGTACTTGGGGTGGCTTAGAAGTTGGTGGGACCAGAGCCAGCTTCTGAAGCCTGAAGCCCCAAACCTGTTCCCCCAGGTGTGGGAGCAGGGGCATCTCTGTTTATAAAGCTTGCTGAGAGAGAGAGAGAGAGAGCGAGAGAGAGAGAGAGAGAGAGAGAGAGAGCGCTCAGCCTCCTGGGGCTGCCTCTGGAATGTCTCTGGGGCTGGGGCTAGAGCTGGCCCAGGAAGGCCCAGATGGTTTGTGTTCCAGAACCAGGATAAATTATGTCCGAAACTGTGACACCCAGAAAGCCTCCCTCCCCACTGCTGGCAGCAGGCACGGTTTCTGCCCTTCTTGGCTTCCAAGGCCTTCCACAGCCTGGTACCATCTGGCCTCTTGGGTCTGACCTGTCTTCCACAGGGCTAGGGCACTGAGCTCAAGGTCAGAAACATTCTAAGGGGTATTTGAGAGGCATAGATTTGAGAGAGTGATTGGCCCAGGATCACAAAGCTAATAGAATTTGAACCCAGGACTTCCTGAGCACAGGTCCAGAGTGCTATCCATTCTCCCTTGCTCTCTGTTGGTATTGAAGGGAGCTCCGGAAACCCCCCCAGGGAAGAGCCCCACAGCTGGTCGCTTGTAGCCTTGGCCTCAGGCCCTCTTTAGAGCCTCCTAAATATATTTGGATTCAAGTGGCAGCTGCGTGGAATGCGGTCTCCAAGGAGTGGGTGGGCAGACGGGCAGGTGGGCAGGCTGGCTCCTTTCTAAATATAACTGCAGCAGAACAAGGCCAGAGTTCATCGGGACTCAAAGGCCAGTCACCTTCCCTGCCTCCAGCCAAAGCCAGCTCAGCCCCGAGTGGCGGAAAGCTGGACCCTAACCTTTCCTGTGAGGGGGGCAGTGGGAAGCAGTGGGAGGTCTCCCTGGCATGGGAGGAAGGAGGCCAGGGTTCTGGCCCCACTTCTACTGTCCTTGACTTTGGGCCTCAGTCTTTTCATCTAGGAGGGAGAGGAGTGGGTTGGAGGGGGCACAGTGTCGTGGAAAGAGCCCCGAATTCAGACAGAGGACTTGGGCTTGAACTCCCCTCTGCCCCTTAAGCCTGTGTGACTTCAGGGAGGTGATGCCCCGTCTCCGGATCTCAGCGTTCTCATTTGCAGAATGAGAGGATTGGACCAGATGGCCCTATCAGTTCTAAATCTACGACCCCTCTACAACAGGGGTCCCTTCACCCAGAATCCCCTGCCACCCACAAGGAATCCTTGGATAGATTTCCGTGATCTTGAATGGGGGGAAATGACATCTTTATTGTCCTCATCCTCTAGGTGAAATGAGCACATATCAAAAACATGATCTGTGGAGTCTTTTTAAAAATTACGTCTTCAGTTTATTGAGGAGGACAAATAGGGCTGACATTTCTCCATCTAACATTCATTGTTGTTTCTCAGCGTAGTTTAGACTTTGCATCATCCTTTCGTTATTAAATTAGACACTTGGTTTGTGTATCATTTAGAAGGAAAGAAACCAGATTTACCTGTAAGCAAAATAAAATTCTGAACTAGTAGATTTTGAGAATGTTACAAATCTTGCCTTAATATTATATTATAATTAATAATTTAATAATGACTATTAATTATATAAATATAGAATTGTACTATGCCAAATAATTATGCATCATTATTAATGTCAACAAATTGTTATAATTAATTATTGATGGTAATTAATATTATCTTAATGTTGCAAATCTTAATATTAATTACAAATCCCATTTTAATTCTCCTTTTTACTTGTCAGCTTCCCTAGACTGATGGCTGCTGGGGGGAGAGGGGTCAAGCTTTCCCGAGCTAGGCTGCCCCTTCATCATCCTCTTCTCCTTGGACTCTCCCCCATTCTCTGAGTGTCTGACTACATATAGTCTTTCCCGGTTGGATTGATTGGCTCATAAACAAAGATCTCTAAACTCCCATTTTACAAATGAGGAAACTGAGGCCCACAGCGATTAAAGCAACTTGTCCAGGATTAAATAGCTAATAAGTGCCTGAAGTGGGATTGGGACCTTGGCCTTCCTGACATATTTAATTCTGTGTCTCAGGCATCTCCCAAGTTGTAATCAGTACTAGCAAAAAGACTTTCCACACCCAGAACTCTCAGATAAAAATCTGTCTTTGGTCTATTTATATATTTTCACCATTGTTATTATGACAGACAAGTCCTTGTATCCTGGAAGATGGTTTCTCCTTCATTGGTTGCTTTTTAAATAGAGGACTCCTTTTCTAGGTTAAAAGCAAAGTTGTAGCATAGCTCTGCCTACAGCTCGGCATAGCGTCCACAGAGGCCGTTAAGGGGCACCATGGTGCACAGAGCTCTGGGGCCAGGAGTTGGGAAGACCTGAGTTCAAATTTTACCTCAGAGACTTACTAGCTGTGTGAACTGGGACAAATCACTTCACCCTGTTTGCCTCAGTTTCCTCATTTGTAAAAATGAGCTGGAGAAAGCAGTGGCAAACCACTCTAGTGTTTTTGCCAAGAAAACCCCAAATGGGGTCACTGAGGGTTGGACACGTTTGAACAACACCAATAGCCCCTAGCTCCCTTGGTCACTATGAGGGCCAAATGAAATAATATTTGTAAAGTGCTTTGCACACCTTAAAGGAGCTATGTAAAATTTAGCTATTGTTAAGAATATTATTGTTATTATCCAAATACGTAGGTAAGAAGGATATAGATAGTGGGGACTGAACCCTAAGGCCACATAGCATGTAGGATTTACCTTCCCCTGTGACTCAAACCCTGATATCTTGAGATTTACTGTGGTATTATGACTTATTCTGAGCCCTATTATTAGTATTTAATAAGAAAATGGTCTTTTCTCACCTTAGCCTGTGAGATTCTAAAGGGTTTGCTAAAGTGTGATGTTAATTACATCTTTGGGAACCAAAAATATTTCCTGGGGGAAATCTCCTCCAACTTTCCAATTTACCAACATTTTAAATAAAGACAACCTTTAAAAGAACTCGTCTGTTCCAACAAGTGAGATATAGCGGTAAAAGTTCTCCAGAGGGGTGAAAGCTATCATTGGCCAGGGGATAGGACAGAAATGGAGACAGTATCCACCAATCACAGACAGGCTACTATACCAGGTTAGCCAAGCCCCAGGTCCTATAAACTTGTTGGGAGCAGCCTTGGGTACTAGCCAGCTCCCTTAGAAACTCCTAGGGCTGAATACTTTTCTTGACTTTAAAAGGCTCCCCTAGAGCAGCCCCTCTCCTTTACCAGCCACCCACCTCCCTGGGTAGGTAGGTGACTCTGTACCCATTCTCACTCCACAGACCACTGCTAAGTCCTGGGGCGGGGGGGGGAGGGTCCATGGTCTCCAGTCAACAGCGTACAAGGACCCCTGATATAAGACAGGTGCTCTTACCTCTTCGAGGGCTGCTCACCAGTCAGCAGAACAGTATGTGTCTGAGACTCTGGGCTGCCTCAGAAAAAGTGGTGAAGAACTGAGACAGAATATCAGTCTTTTTTTTTTTTTTCCTAGTCCACAGGAAGTTGCAATGTTTGTACAGCCACGCCCAGCAGGGTCAGTTGGCACACTCAGAGAGAGAGACTTTGCTTATTTCTGGGGCAACCTTAAAACCATTTGCCCAGTGATTATAAAGATCTCTCTTTGGGAACAGCAAGGAACTGTGTCACGAGTGCCTTCAGGAGAAAATAGGAATTGGTCAGTAAAATGAGCTCCGATCTTATCTCTCCCTTCCTTTCTCAAGTCTCCTACACAGGCTTTGCTGGAAGGAGCGTGAAGTCTACACGTGTAGAGCAGCATCTGTGCTGGGGGGGACAGCAGCCCCACAGTGGAGAGAGCCCCTGAAGCAGAGGCTACCAGAGGGGAATAAACAGCTGGCTGAACTGGGAGAAAAGTCACAGCATGACTCTTGTTTTGCCTGGCAATGGACACATACTGGCTCCTCTTACAATTCTGGGAGCCTCAGAGTTGGGCCCTAAGCCTGGGCACACACTGGATACGTGCAGCAGGGCTGACTTCACATGAAGTGTGGGATGTAGTGTGGAGGGAGCACTAGAAAACCTGGGTTCAGAGCCTGATTATTATTGTTGTGATTACTAGGAAACCAAGTCTCCGTTTCCTTCGTGTATAAAATGAAAGTTTGGACTAAAATGATTTCCAAGGGCCCTTCCAGCTCCAGGCTGTATTTGGGTAGTTCTTTCTACCTTTCCCCTGAAAACACCATGCCTGAAATTCACTATTTATAACTTATTCCATTGGCAAAAGAATTGCCCTTTCCCTACTATCCTTTTTTAAAGGCAGGAAACCAGAAGACAGAGTAAGATATTATAATGATTACCACAATGTAAATAGTGTGAGATTTGTGTAGCTATCTCTCATATGTGGGCCCCCAGAGCTGCTGCCCCAGATTTGAGGCTCACTATGGGTCACTCCCCAATTGAAGCCATAAATTCACAAGCCCCCACGACTGTATGTATTTATTACCTACTATCTGGAGGACAGAGGTAGCTACATGGCTCAGTGGATAGAATGCTGGGTCTGGAGTCAGGAAGACTAGAGTTTAGATCCAGCCTCAGACTCTCACTAGCTGTATGACCCTGGGCAAGTCACTTAACCTCTGTTTGCTTTGGAGGCAGCTAGGTGGCTCAGTGGATAGAGCACCGGACCTGAGTTCAAATTTGGCCCCAGATAATAGCTGCATGACCCTAGGCAAATCACTTAACCTCTGTTTGCCTTAATCCGCTGGAGAAGGACATGGCAAACTACTCCAGTATCTTTGCCAAGAAAACCCCATGTGGGGTGATGAAGAGTCATACACAACTGAGTATCAATTTGGAAAACATATTAGTTCAAAACAGAATGAATATATACAAATAATATATAATAATTTAGAAGATAATCAAATACACGTTGATGAAAGTGACGACAAAAAATCAGGCATAGCGTTCTATCTGTCCTGCAGTTTGCCACACCACTGGTGGAGGAAGGCAGCCACATGAAGGACCTGTGTGAAGGGGCACACAAGAGTCCGTGTCTGGCCAAGACCACATAGACTTCTAACACAGCAGGGCTGCTGACATCTCGGGCCACTGACGTCACCCTGCGGCTCCCTGGTGAGCAGCTCGTCTTACTCTCTATGGGTCAAGTTGGTGGGTGTGTCTTCTTTGTGGAAGGTTCCGTGTCTATGCTGGGTGTCAGGTGTCTGTTCTCTGCTGAGTACTGTGTTTCTTCTTTCTTTCTTCCGATTGTCTCTGCTTAACACATGGATGCTAAAGTTCTGTCTGCTACCATCTTCTGGGCTTGAGTTCTTCTGAGCTAGCTTAGGTTCTTAGCGCCCCGGGGGCTAATACACAGTAAACTTAAAGTCTTTCCTTGACCTGGACAAGCCTATTGCTTTTTAATCCATAGCCAAGGCTTCAAGTCACAACACCAAGAACAGGCCAGCAGAAAAAAAAAAAGCCAGCCAGAGCTCCCTAGGTGTTGATAAAATCTGTTGCTTTGATTCCCTGTGTCTGGTATGGATTCAAAATCAGTGGTCCTAGGCAACTATCTGATTTAGGGTTAGAAATTCCTTGTATTTGGAATTATGCAAATAAAGGGACTAAAATGTCCTTAACCTTTGACTCAGAGATTTCACTTATAGCTGTATCTACCACCACCCCTCTGAGGAAGTCACTGTCCAAAAGAAAGTCCCCATATAGAGCAAAATATTTATAGCAACACTATTTTTGTGTGTGAGCAAAGAATGTCCATTGATTAGGGAATGGCTAAACGAGTTGTGGTATGTGATTGTTATGGAAATCTTACTGTGCTGTAAGAAATGACAAATGTGATAATAAATACAGAGAAACCTGAGAAGACTTAACATGAACTGATGCAAAATTAAGCAGAGCCAGGAAAACAATACGCATAATGCTACCACAATGTAAATGCAAAGAACCTCTCCCTACACACATATACTCAAGAAATCAAAAAATGAAAAAACCATGAAGAACAAGGTTAGAAGATGTTTGAAAAGATATAATTTTGAAGAGGTGGGGAGGGGGTAGACAGTAACAATAACATTGCACATCATGTCAGAATTTTTAATACAGCAATTGATTTTGCTGGATTTTTTCCTCTTCTTCCTCCTTTTTTTTTTTTAAAGTTTTTTCCTATAATGGAAGGCTCTCTGGAAGGGGAGAAGGGGAGGGATACAGGGACAAATCTAGGTCATATAAAAACAACAATGAAAGATCCATGCAAAATGTATTTTTAAAAAAGAAACTTATTGTAACTCTCATTTAATCCCTTATGGGGATCCCATGTCCCCCCAAACCAGATTAGGGTCTTTTTTCCTCCCCAAAACTCAGTAGAAGGTAAGGCTATGAAGTCCACTTTGCTCCAATGTTCTTTCAGGTTCACTTGTAAAGGAAACTGGGTAAGAGCCAAGGCGAAGCAGAGGAGCTCATTGGCTTTCATTCTCTGGTCCACCTTGCCTAAGTGACTTGCTCAGGGTCTGAGGGTGGATTTGAACTCTAGCCCTCCTGACTCCAGGCCCCGTGTTCTATTCACTGAGCCATGTAGCTACCGCTGTCCTCCAGATAGTAGGTAAAAAGTACAAATAGCGGTGGGGGCTTGTGAGCTTATGGCTTCAAGTGGGGAGTGACCCATAGAGAGCTGCACATCTGGGGCAGCAGCTCTGCTGTGAGAGAGTGTACCCCAGCTACACAGATCTCACTATTTACATTGCATTAATAATTATATCTTACTCTGTCTTCTGGTTTCGTTTGACTTTGATCTTGACTTTGGTGCTCTATACTCACGGTGCAAAACCTTGCTCTCCCTACAATTTTAGAATTGTATTTTCAATTCTGCTTGATATTTGTTTCTTTATTGGTGGATGATTGCTAAATTTATAATTAAGAAATTACAATTCAATGGCAGAGATCTCTGGAAACAAAGAGGAGCATTTCAAAAATAGAATAACCTCAACAATGATAGAAAAGTCAAACAGTCCCCACCCTCAGGGAGCTTACATTCTAACTGAGAGAACAATTATAGAAGGTTTCAGGGCAAATCTGATGGAAAGGGCCTTGGTTCTTAGGATGTAGGGGCAAAGCAGATGAGAATGACACTTAATTAACGACATTTCCACTGATAAAATCCGTTTCTGATGTTGAGCCATTTGACAGAGCCAAAGACGTTGGTGAGAGGTTTCTTCTAGGTCTTCAGAGCTATAGCCATAACTGCTGCTCGAGCAGTGGCTGGTCATCTGGAAGGGGAGAGAGGGGCTGCTTCCTCTACCTGCTTGGCACTGCCCCTCCCAGGGGCTCTTGGAGGTACCCATTGCCCACTGGTAGACAGGTGTTAGTGGTGGTAAAGAAAGGTAGAGGGTGGGGCTTTTCCCCAATGATTGCTCCCCTCAGTGAAGACTGTGGTGTAGGCTGGGCTGGAAACCAGACTGGTAATCTGCAGGGCTCTGTTATTCCCTAAGTTCTTGGGTTCCAGGGCCCAAGTTGTATCCCTTTGGGCCTCAGGGAGAAGTGGTTTGATGTGCCTGGTACAAACTCCTTCCTTTTCTTTCCCTCAAGATACCCTGATATCATCCCTGACACCTCAGAATAAGTAAATTTACCAGATGCTTTTTTTGTCTTAAAAAAAGCATTATTTATTTTTAACATTTAAGAAAATTTTTATTTTATTTTTAACATTTAAAAAAATTGTGTTCTAAATTCTCTCCTTCCCACCCACTGAGAAAACAAGCAATATGATATCAATTATACATTTGGAATTATGCAAAATGTATTTCCATATTGCATTAAAAAAAAGCAAAAAAAAAGTGAGAAAACTAGACTGCCATTTGCATTCAGAGCTCATCAGTAGAGCATTTTCCATCATGAATTCTTCAGAATTGACTTGGATGATTGAATGTGTTGATCAGAGTAACCAAGTCTTTCACAGTTGATCATCATTACATTACTGTTACTATGCACAATGATGTCCTGGTTCTTCTCAGTAGCTTTGCATCAGTTCATATAAGTCTTGCCATGTTTTTCTGAAACTACGCCCTCATTGTTTCTTTTAGCACACTAGTACTCTATCACAATCATGTGCCATAGCTTGTTCAGCCCCTCCCCAACTGATGAGCATCCCCTTGATTTCTAATTCTTTGCCACAACAAAGAGAGCTGCTATGAATATTTTTGTACATATAAGTCTTCTTCCTTTTTCTTTGATCTCTTTGGGGGCACAGACCTAGTATCAGTATTGCTGGGTCAAAGATTATGCACAGTTTTATAACTCTTTGGACATAGTTCTAATTTGTTCTCCAGAATGGTTGGACCAGGTCACCACTCCACCACAGTGCATCATTCCTATTCCCCTTAACTCTCCCACCCCAAAGTTCCAATAAAATGCCACCAACTCCTCCCACTGTGCCCTCTGGAATGCCTGTCCCATAGGCATCAAATTTTCCTTCATCCCAGATCTTTTCCTCTCCCACTCCTTCTATCTACTAGCTATTACTGAACCCTGGCTCCCCTCTGATGGCTCCTCCAGCCTCTGGCTACGCCTTCACTCATGCCCCTCAGTTCACTGGCTGAGGTGTTTGAGTTGAAATACTCCTTGCTCCCCATTGCAGCTTCCAAGTCTTCCCTTTATCTCCATCTCTCAGTTAACCCTCCTCTTTGAGGTCCATACTCTTTATATCTACCCCACAATCAGGATCTTGGTGGCTGTTGTCTACAGACCTCCAGGCCACTCCCCCTTCCCTCCTCTCTGATTTCTACCCTCACAGTAGGTCATGTCAACATACATGTTGATTCTCCCTCACTTTTCTTTCTTTTCAAACAGTGTTTTATTTATGCTCCTTTTCTCTTTTTTAAAAAATGTACTGTTACTTCCCAATAGTTCCTCTCAATAGAACCGTCCCTTGTAACAACTAAATGAAGCCAAAGAAAGCATATCAGTATGTTGACTAGTTCTGAAAATGTATGCTCTGTTCTGTGCCTGTGGCTTATGACCTCTCTGCAGCAGGTAAGGCACGTCCGTCACATCCAGCCACATCAGAGACTTTTCCTAGAATTCTAGAGTAGGAGGATAGGAAAAAACTTAGACAGCAGGATGTCAGAGCTGGGAGGGGCCTTAGAACAGGGGATGTCAGAGCTAGGAGAGGTCATAACAGGGCATGTCAGAGCTGGGAGGGCCTTAGAACAGGGGATGTCAGAGCTAGGAGAGGTCATAACAGGACATGTCAGAGCTGGGAGGGGCCTTAGAACAGGGAGGGTCAGAGCTGGGATGAACCCTAGAACAGAAAATGTCGGGGGCAGGGTAGGGGTGGGGGAATGCATTTTACAGATTAAGAAGATGAGGGCCCTGAAAAAGGAAGCAGGTTGGCTGAGTCACGCAGGGAGGTAATTTCAGACTAGGACTGGAACAGGGATTTCTGGACTCCCAGGATAGGATTCTTCCTCTACAGGGGGCTGCTTCTCTGAGACAAAGAGCAGCCAGAGGCATAGTGGGTGCCTGATGGGAAGGAGGTGCTGAAAAGCTGGGAGAAGGCCCAGAAAGGGGAGTTTGGGGGCCAGAAGCACTTGGCCTATTTCAAGCATTGCCCAGGGCTGGCCTCAGATGGCAGGTTACAAAGGGACTGTCGGAAGTGGGGAAAGCAAGGGGGGCCAGGACTTAAGAAGCTGTTGTGTTCCCTCTGAATACCGCCCTGGGCTCAGGGCAGGTTCCAACGGGAGCCCATTTCTAGGGGACAAAGAGAAATCCTAAGTGAGATGGAGACCAGAGACAGGGAGTCAGCTGAGTGACCCCCTAGGGTTGAAGCTTCATTGCTTAGAGAAACCTCCTTTGTTCTCACTGGGAAACACTGTCCAGGGGAGCTGGCTGGCCTCCCAGGCCTGGGCATGAAGAGCAACTGAGCATTCAGCGCTGAATTTGGAGTCAGACAACCGGGGTTCGAATCCTAACGCTGCTTCTTACTACCTGTATAACTTTGGGGAAGTCACTTCCCTGTCTAAACCTCAGTTTATCCATCTGTAAAATTAGAGAGATGGACTAAATCAGAGTATCTTAACCTCAGGTCTGTGAACTTTAAAAAACCGTAGCTATTTCAGTATAACATTATGCATCTAGAAACATGATTCTGAGAAAGGGTCCATAGGCTTTACCAGGCCGTCAAAGGGGGTTATGTCACAAAAGAGGCTAAAAGGCCCTGGTCTAGCCCACTCACCCACCCCCAACCTGGGGAAGGACTAGCCATGGCCTTCAGGTACTCTTCTCTCCTTAGCTCCATGCCCTATGTGACCTCTGTCTATAGAAGGGAGACAGGAATGAACAATGACTCACCTCACTGCAGGCAGTACAGACAGTAAGTATACCAAGTAAGGGCTGTGACCTGCAGCAGGGAAGGTGCCATCTGAATGCCAGCTGCTTGCCAGGGCACCTTGGTGATGCATCAAAACAGACCCAAGGGCTCCTGGCCTTGGCTCAGGAAGAGAAACTGTATCCTGCTCGGAGCAGGTGGCAAGGCCTCCCACCTGTACCTGAGCTCGGAAGCCCACCCCCAAACGGTCGATCCCTGTTCTGATTTGGACATCCCCCAGCAGATGAGAAAGGGATTTCTGAGTTAATTTCTCTTCTCCATACTTACTAAGTTGGGAAGGTTAATCCCTCCTAGGAAAGGTAGCTTAAGTATATCGCGAAGATCCTTGGGCTATGGAACTAGGAGACCTGGGCTTCCTTGGCAAGTCACTTCACTGTTCTGTTTCTTCATCTGTAAAGAGAAGATTATTCTGTTTATGTATGTAAAGTCAGAGGTCACTGAGTTGGTAAATCAGTTAACCCATCCCACTAGGGGTAAGTGATAATAAGATGTTCCAGATTACATTTATCAAGTGAAAACACATCTCCTTTGTTTGCTAGGGGTGAACAAGGCGTGGGCACCTCCCTGGGTGTCATAAAAAATCTGTTTGGATTGGCTGAAGGACTTGGTCCTGCCTTTTGAATCCTGTATTAAATTATCAAGCTAGTTGGAATCAGAGATTTGGAGCAAGAAGTGGTGACAGAGAAGGAAATGCCAAAGTTCACCCCTTGGGAGGGGAGGGATTCAGCCTCAGGCTCCTTCTCACCACTGACCCCGCTTCTACTCTCTTGTCTGGAGGGGGGCCTGGAGGAGTTTGACTTTTGTCCCAGCAGCCTCCCCAGAATAGCTGATTGCAATGTCTGCCTCAGTAGCCAAGGACAGACTTGATGAAGATTCAAGACTCTACAAATAGCCTAGCAGAAAAAGAGAAGGCCACCCTGCCTAAGGGGAACATCTTGAGAACTCCAGCAAAAGGACTTCCAGGAGCTGTGAGCTACCCTTCTGCAGCCTGTGTTTGAGTCCACTCTGCACGTTCTTGGGAGAGTATGTACCTAAGAGAGTGTTCACTGACTTCAGAGGATTTTTTAGAAAACCAATTATATAGACGTAACAAAACACTCCTTCCTAAAACCCAATTAAGTCTGGCTGACTGATACCAACTGAAAATCATAGCTAGAAACACACTGATGGGGGCTCATGAGCTACATAACATTAGAGAAAAATACCCCTAATGCTTCAGGACTACCCCTAGACTTTAAGAGGTTAAGAAGTAGCCACTTGAGCTTTGGGAACCCAATCTGTTAGAGTGAGTAGGGAGTGCAATCAGAGTATGCGCTGTATGATTATAGGTCTAGAGCTGGAAATGCCTCTCTAAGGACATTGAGTCTAACCCTTTCATTCTGCATATGAAGAGAAGATATTGAGCAACTTGCCTGAGGCCACATAGCTATTGTTATTTTTCTTCATGATCCCATCTTGGGTCTTTTTTGGCAGAGATAGTGGAGTGGTTTGCCATTTCTTTCTCGACTTCATTTGACAGATGAGGAAACTGAGGCAAATAGGGTTAAATGATTTGCCCAGGGTGCCACGGCCAATAAATGTCTGAGGTCAGGTTTGAACCCAGAAATATGAGTCTTCCTGACTCCGGGTCCTGCACCACCTAGCTGCCCCAAGTGGCAAATATATTCTGACTCCAAATCCAGTTTTTTTTCCATGTTATCAGACTGCCTTCTATTTGTACCCCTTTCTCACAAAGGTTGTAGGGAAAGCAGGTTGTGAACTGGAAATCATGTTATAACTGAGCTGTTACCCTGATAACTGTGCTGTCCCAGAAGGTGCTGTTCACTTGGAATGAAGGGACCTGGGTTCTAGTTCCGGCTGCATCAGCTGGGCATTCATCTAGACAAGCTGGCTTTGGAGGCCCTGGGCAAATTGCGTTGTGTCTCAGATTGTTTCTTCATTTGCAAAATGGACCCAATGATACTGTGGATCCTACAGAGGAGGTAGAAAAGCATTTAACAAACAATATTATATAAATGTGAACTTTTATTACTAATATGGTTGAAACATTCTTCAGTGATTGAAGCCAGACCTATGATTTCCTTAATATAGGGATCTCCCACTGAGAAAGCCCTTTCACCAATACAGATTAGCGACTGTTTTTCAACTTTAGCCGCTGAATGTTTCTGATTTACTCAAGGTCACATAGCCACCATGTGACCAAGGTGAGACTTGAACCCAGATCTTCTTGACTCTGGGGTCAGCTCTGCGCTCTCTTATCCTCCTATTGCCTACGGAGTAAAATTCAAATTCGAGGCGCTCCCCAATCGGTTCTTCCTTGTTTTCAGCCTTGCCTCATACTACATCCTCCATGTTCCAGCCAATGGTAGCTATTACCCACCATTCCCTAAACAAGTCCTGCGTTTATCACCTCCACCTGCCTGCCTTTCCTTGTAATGTTCCTTATGCTGGGACTGCCCTCCTCTCTCCCTCACTGCCTGATGGATTCTTTGAGATCTCTTTTGCTCTGACTCTGATACTGTGATCTCTTTGTCTCTGTCTGTCTTCCTCTCTCTCCATCTTGGACTCCGTCTTTTTTTCTTCACATATCTCTGTCTCTAAAGCTCTATGTCTTTCTCCTTCTTCTTCTCTCTTTCTCCATGTGTATTTCTTTTTCTTTCTCTCTCTCTGTCTTTGTATCTGTCTCCTCTTTCTGTCTCACTCACAATGTCCCTTGTCTCCCTTTTTGTGTCTCTCTGTTTCTTTCCCTCTCTCTGTGCATGTCTCTCCTCTCTATGTCTGTCTGTCTCTGTCTCTGTCTCTCTGTCTCTGTCTCTCTCTGTCTGTCTCTGTCTGTCTCTGTCTGTCTGTCTGTCTCTCTCTCTCTTTCTCTCTCTCTCTCTGTCTCTGTCTCTCTCTCTGTCTCTCTCTCTCTGTCTCTCTGTCTCTCTCTCTGTCTCTCTCTCTCTCTCTGTCTCTCTCTCTCTCTGTCTCTCTCTCTCTCTCTCTCTCTCTCTCTCTCTCTCTCTCTCTCTCTCTCTCCCCCCCCTTCTCCTCTCTATTTCCCTGTCTCTATCTTTGTCCATCTGTCCTCCTCCCCACACTTAGACATACCCATCACCACCATCGCAACCGGCCACCACCAGATGGCAGCAGACACACCCCTGCGGTCTCTCTCATCCTTCTCTTCCCCTTTGCCTGGGAGCTTGGACCTACCCATCAAAACTTGGAAGTCCCTCTGCAGTCACAGAATGGCCTCCAAGGGTCAAGGCATGTTTTCTGGTTTGGTTGGATGGGTAGGGGGGTTTGCCCAGACCCCAGACCCTGGGAGCACAGCTTGGCTTCTCCAGCCTGGCAGGTAATGGTGGAATTCATCATGGTAGCCTCCTCCATTGGCTTTACGATTTACAAAGCACTTTATAGACATCACATGAGGACAGTCCTGTGAGGTCGGCTCCCCAGGGTCTCTTATTCCCATTTTTCTAAGGAGGACATTCCACTGACTCTGAGAAGGGAACTGGCTTTCCCAGAGTCACATAGCTAGTGAATGGTTGATGTGGAATCTGAACTCGGGCCTTTCCTGACTATGAGCATTGCTCTTATGACTCCCATAATCCAAGAGCACCCTGGTGGTGGAGCCAGAATTTGGGTTTCACTCCCTGCTCTATTACTACCTTTGGGTGAGTCACTTCCCTTCCCGGGGGTCTTCTGTAAAATAAAAGAGTTGGACTTGAAAACCTCTAAGCTTCCACCCAGGGCTGAGATCTCTGCTCCCCTGCAGATCAAGATGGGCGGAACCTTCTCATTTAAAACGGTATTTTTAGTTCCCTGTATTTCTCCCCGCCCTCACCCCTAATCCTGGAGCGCTCAGGGACACCTCTCCCCGCCCCACCCCCGCTTGGCCCCGGGAAGCTTGGCGGGAGGCGAGGTGAAGACAGTGAGGTGAGGACAGCGGGCACGGCGGTTTGGCACAATGGCTCTTATGGAGCCTGGGCAGGTGCAGAGGGAGAAAGGGTTTTGGGGCAGGGGGAACAGCTCCAGATCCTGGACCCAACAGGGGGCTGAAGGGAGGGGGCCTTCAAACTGTGGGCCCCGTGGCCCTGATCTTCAGGGGCCCCCTGGATACATGTGGGGTGGAACTGAGGCCTGATCTGGCCCCCAGCCCAGCCGTTGCTGCTGCCAACAGTAGGCTGAGTTGGGGCAGGCAGAAAGGATAGGAGAGGGGAGGGGAAGAGGAGAGCCCAGCCAGGATCTATAAGCTAAATCTTGGGGGTGGGGAGCTTGAGGGAGAAGGCAGAAGCTAGGCAGGGGGCCTGGCTGAGGTGGTGATAGATGCAGCTGTTGGAGGTGGGAAAATTGGTCTGGCTTCCACTCTCCTCCTCCTCCTCCCCTCCTCTCCTTTCCCCTGTACTCTCCTCACCCCTTTTCTCCCCTCTCCTCTCCTCTCCCCTCTCCTCTTTTCCCTTTCCCTTCCTCTCCCCTCTCCTCTCCTCTCCCCTCTCGTCCTTTCCCCTTCCTTCCTCTCCTACTCCCCTTCTCCTCCTCTCCCTTCCTCTGTCCTCTCCTCATCCCTCTTCTCCCCTCTCCTCTCCCCTACCCTCTTTTTCCCTTCCCCCCTCCCCTCTCCTCTCCCTTCCCCTCCTTTTCCCTTCCCTTCCCTCCCCTCTTCTCTCTTTTTCTCCTTTCCTCTCCTCTTCCTCCTTCTTACCTCTCCTTTCACCTTCTCTCCCCTCCCTTCTCCTTTCCCTTCTCCCTTCTCCTTTTGCCTCTCCTCCCCTCCCCTCTTCTCTCCTCCCCTCTTTACCCCTAAACACCCAACTTAGAATAGATCATGTGATCCAGAATGAGAATGGGCCTTAGCTCTCATCTAATCCAACTCCATCATTTTTACAGTTGGGGAAACTGAGCCGAAGAGAAGGGAAGTGGCTGGGCCAAGGGCACACGAATGTGGCATTGCTCAAGCACTAGCTTCAGAGTCAAAGCAGAGCTGAGATCTGAACCCAAATGCCTTGATTCCAAAGGCAGCTCTTTTCCTCTTCCTCTGTGATGTGTAGAAATGTGTGTGATGTCCAGAGGGCACTCAGAGCCTTCCTGGGGCACAGGGAGGCACCTGTGTTGGATGGGGCCATATTTTAATGAGAGGGGCCATAAGCACTGAATGTGCTCCCTGGCATCATTTGTAAAGGGGCACTGAAGGCCAGTCCCGGAGAGGCAGGAGTCCCTCCATATATTCTGAACAGTGATAGTCTCTTTGGAGGAAGGTAGATTCCCAAGGAAAGGGAAGCTGGAAGGGAGGCTGTTCATTGGAGGGAGGAGCCGTAGGGCGCTTAGCAGATCGAGCTAGTTACTTCGTGGCTTCCCTGGTGGTGAGCCCAAGAAGCTGCACTTTAAGCTCCTTGAGAACAGAGGGAATCTTCATTATCTTTGTAATGAGCGCCCATGGGATCCCAGACCTACAGCTGGAAGGGACCTCAGAGTCCAACCCTGTCATTTTACAGATGAGAAAACTGAGGCTCAGAAAAGTGCAGACATATAGGTGATGGAGGCAGCATTTGAATCCAGGTTCTACAGTGACAAAGGGCTCTTTCTCCTGTAACAGGCAATGAAAAATGGCGACTAAATGAACTCAATCTTTTTGGAGTTTTAATAACCCTCAATTCATGTGGTGACAAAATCCCACTGGGGTGGGGGAGGGAGGGAGAGAGAGAGAGAGAGAGAGAGAGAGAGAGAGAGAGAGAGAGAGAGAGAGAGAGAGAGAAGGAGAAGGAGGAGGAGGGGGAGGAGAAGGAGTAAATCTATAATCCTATGAAGTCACTTAATTTTCTGTGCCTCAGTTTCCTCATCTGTAAAATGATAAACTGGATGACCTCAGGCCCCTTCCAACTCTAGAGCTATGCTCCTAAAGGCCAAATGGTGCAGGAGGAAGAGGAGGAGGAGGAGGAGGAGGAGGAGGAGGAGGAGAGATCCCTGTATGACTTTATAAACAAAAGTGAATTCAAGTTGTGTTTTGAGAAGATTGGTTGAAGGAACTGGAAATGTCTGAACTGAAGAAGAGCAGATTCAGTGGAGAGGTGACAAGGGTCTTCCAGAATCAAAGGTCTGTCAAATGGGAAAGGGTGGTCTTACACTTGCTCAAAGTTTCCCCTAGGGATAGAATCAGAACAATGAGTAGAAGCTATGGAGAGACAAATTGAGGCTCGGGAAAACTTTGCCAGATTCCTGGAGCTGAATCTTGGGGGCAAGAGATAGCTGCAATTATGGTTGTAGCCAGACGTTCTGGAAGGGTTTCAAGCCCTCACCTCTCTGCCTGTCCCCCTCCCAGAGATCACTGGAGGTGTATAGGGGCAGGGAAAGGAGAGGGTGGAAGCTGGTCCCTTTACAAAATCCTGCTCTGAAATTCTCAGAGTGGGGAGGGACAAAACTTAAAATGCCCGAAGCACAGGACCTTCCCTCCTGGAACAGGCCAGGAGGGCCATCTACCAACAAATCTGGAGATCAGTGGTAGTCAGTGAAAAGAGTGGGGTCTGTCTGGCAGTCGGGAGACAGATTTGGGTCCTGACCCTTCCTCCCTCTGGGCCTCATTGTCTTCATCTGCAATTTGTCTAACCCTCTCATTTTACAGAGGAGGAAACTGAGGCACAGAAAAGTTAAGTGCCTTCATAGGATCATAGACTTAGAACTGGAGGGACCTCAGAGGTCATGTAACCCAACCCTCTCATTTTACAGAGGAGGAAACGGAGGCACAAGGAAGTTAATAACTTGCCCAAGGTCATCCTGGTCATGAGACAGGTGGGATTCGAACCCAGGTCCTCCGAATTCAGAACCAAAATTCTTTGTTCTGTGCTTCTCTCATCCAGAAACCCACCTAAATAATAAACCATCAGTGGAAAATAAAGGATTGTGTAAGAGCCAGAGTGGGGAGCAGGGAGAGATTTTTTTCACTGAAATTCCATCCGCTTTTCCAGAACCTCTCTTCCCCCACACGCCTGATC